AATAATAATAATAAAAGAAGAGTATCTTAAGATATAAAAGCACAAACCATAAAACATGGTTAACACGACTATATTAAAAATATTTTTTATTAAGCTAAGGACACTATAAACAAAGTGAAACAATTATGCATAGTGTAGGAGATATTTGTAAAATACATAACCAAAAACGGATTCGCATCTTGTATAAAGGTCATGAATGATCAATAGAGAAAAATGAGACAAAATTCTATGAATAGGCAATTCACATAAGAAAAGGCCACAACCAACATGTGAAAAATGCACAGCATCCCTAGCAATGAGGGCCATGCAATACCATTTAGCACCCGATGCCTGGAAAAAATGTTTAAAGATGTCTGACAGTGCCGCACGTTGGTGGGGACGTGAAGAAGTAAAATCTCAAGACACGTCTAGTGACAGTGGAAACTGCTGCAATCACTTTGGGGAACAATCTGAGCGATATTTAATAATTCCCAAATTGTACATTCCCAGGAGCCAGCAATTCCTCTTTCAGCTACATACCCTGGAGAGACTCTCGCCCGTGTGCACAGTGAGACAGATATGAGACTATGCATTGCAGTTTTGGGTTTTAGGGTGGAAGTGACTAACTACCCACCAATAGAAGAAGGAGATTTTTAAAAATGAATGCTGCGTGGAAATTAAATGAATTAATTAGAGCTGCATGTATCATTATGGACTAATCTCAAAAACATAATATAGAGGGGGACAAAGTAAAGTGCAGAACCATATTGCTACCTGTGGCTGAAGTTGAAATATACATTCAGGGGAATTATACACTTCAAACCCCAGGGAATGGTTTCATCTAGGGAGGGAGGAAAGAAAGAGGAAAGCAGAGCCAGGAGTGAGATTAGGAAGGGACGTAAAGAGGCCACCAACCGTTCTTAAAATGTTTTGTTTCCTTAAAAACATCTGAATAAGAAGTGGCAAAATGTTAATTTATGTGAACCCTGACAGCTTGATTCATAAACACCAATTACATTATTTGTTCTGCTTTTCCATGGGTTTGGCAAAGGTCATAACAAAAACACTTAAAATCATCAAACGTGCTAATTTATTAAGAGGATCCAGTTTGGTGACTCACACAAAGCTGGCTTTTTATTCATCTAAACTTACCTTCTCTTTACATGTAAAATTTATTTTTGCAGTATGTATAAAAACCTGGCTTTGTTAGATTATCTACTCTGTTTTCTCAAACTGTGCTGAATAGAAGGCAGCCTTCTCCCAGTGATTGCCCACTGTCATTCTAGAATCTGGTACTGGGCTGTGCTCTCGCCCTCATGCTGAAGGAAAGCCACCTCAATGACTCTGAATTCAATGGTCCCAATTTCTTGGCTGGAAAATTAGAAAACCCAGAGACAAAGGAAGATTATATCGACTCCCTCAGTTTCCAACTCTTACTCTTGCTGCTGTGATGTCCCTGCTGTGGAAATCACTCCCTAAATCAATTTGTTTTTCAATACATAATAAGTATTTATTTTGTCCAAGGCATGGCTGCCCAAGATGATCATCTGAAGTGGACCCACGTTGTTTTGCGAATAAAGTTAGTGAATCTAGGGAAGGATATTGATAACAAGACCATTACTAATTAATAGACATGGGGCCCGTGTTAAGCAAATACATTAAAATACACTCCTTTGATACTTTAAAAGAAATCATAGAAGCCACAGGTATTTCTCTCCAGCGCTGGGATTTCATGTAGCAGCAGCACAGGAAGGGAATAGAGTATCTGGGAGGTGGAAGAGCCATTCCTTGCAATTCTGAAATCGGAAGCTGGCTCTGAGCTCTGCTGGCTACATTAGTAAAGCAACAGTTCTCAGTAGTGAGGGAAGCTGATTTCTTTTCCCCAAAGGACACTGGGCAATGTCTAGACATTTTTGGTGGTCACAACTGAGGTGTGTGCTACCACAATGTGGTGGGTAGAGGTCAGGGATACTGCACAATATCCCACAATGCACAGGACAGCCCCTCTACCTCAAGGAATGTTCCAGCTCCAGATGTTCATAGTGGTGCAGTTGAGGACCCTGGTGTACACTGACGGGCAGTTGAGAACCCTGGTGTACAGTGATAGCCACAACCCCATAAGGCTCTGCTCTCCAGAAGCTCGGAGTGGTTAACTAGCTCACTCAAAGCCGTGTAGACAGAAGTGGTCCCTCCGAGGCTTAAAGCTACATTTGCCTGGTTCCAAGGCTGACTGCTTCTAGCAAATGTCATGTTCTCAGGAGGGCAGTCATGTGTGCAGTGGCCATTCACACACATCCCCTTAAAGGAAGGACTGTCTACACTCTGATCCCAACAGCTGCTGAAGGCAAAGACAGCCTCCTCCATCGCTCCTGGCTGGACGCACTCTGTTTATTCCCCATGGGTTCTTACAAAAATCCTGCTGTTTGCAGGCACCTGAAGTTCTCTTTGAAGAGCCAATGAATATGGTGGGAACAGAGCTGATGGAGGAGAGGGTATCCCTCAAGCTGTTCTCCCCATGAGTCCGTCTCTCAAATAGGTCCCTGAGGCACTCCTGAATGTCTGCCGATGTCTCCCCCTTACCTGGTCACAGAGGGTTCCGATCAAGCCTTCCAAATCTTGCTTCTCATGGAGGACCATCTGCTTCTCTTCATATTCTTGCTCCAGCTGCATTTCCAGCTGACGGAGCTGTGGATACACAGAGCGGAAGCATACACAGGGTAAATGAACTCCATCCAGACAAACCCCACAAGGCAAGGACCCTCAGGAGGAGGAAAAACGTAGAGCTTGTGGCTTTGTTCCATGAGCCTGCCCTAGTGATTGGCAGGTGGTGTCTCTGTAGGAGAACTTAAGAGCCTAAAAGCTTGGGGGCTGGACAACAGAAGGGAGGGCTGGTCAATGATGGGGAACCTCTCGCCATTGACTGTGAAACCCCCTCCCCCAGGTCCCCAATAGAACAGATGCCTCCCTCCTGTAGCCAAGGCCACTGTTGAATATTTGCAAGTCTTTGCACTCTGATTTTTAATGGCTCTGCACAATATTATGACCAACATATCAAAAATGCATTCCCCTCCTTTATTAAATACACAATGATGCAATAAAAGAAGTTGTATTTGAGATTTTTTGGTGTTATAAACTATATATGGCCCTCTCCAAAATTCATATGGTGAAACCCTAACCCTCAGTGCAGTGGTATCTGGAGGTGGGGCCTTAAGGAGGTAATTAGGTTTCGATGAAGCCATGAAGGTGGAATTTTCACAGTGGGGTGAGTGCCTGAAGAGAATCAGAGAGCTATCTTCCTCTCTCTCTTTCTCCGTCATGTTAATCTACAAACAGGAGGTGGTGGTCTGCAAGCCAGGAAGAGAGCCCTCGCCAGACACTGAACCTGCCAGCACCTTGATCTCAGATTTGCCAGCCTCCAGAACTGTGATAAATAAATGTTATCATTTTTTTTTTTTTTTTGAGACGGAGTCTCGCTCTGTCGCCAAGGCTGGAGTGCAGTGGCCCGATCTCGGCTCACTGCAAGCTCCGTCTCCCGGGTTCCCGCCATTCTCCTGCCTCAGCCTCCCGAGTAGCTGGGACTACAGGCACCCGCCACCTCGCCCGGCTAGTTTTTTGTATTTTTTAGTAGAGACGGGGTGTCACTGTGTTAGCCAGGATGGTCTTGATCTCCTGACCTTGTGATCCGCCCGTCTCGGCCTCCCAAAGTGCTGGGATTACAGGCTTGAGCCACCGCGCCCAGCCTAAATGTTATCATTTAAGCCACCTAGACAATGGGATTCTGCTACAGCAGCCTGAACTAAGACATCTGACTGTAAGCAACTCATTTAATTTGCAACTGGCTCTGATTTCTCAGCGATTACCCAGCAAACACAGACATTTCCCACTAAAGCAAATACCCCACTGTGGCTGCGCTTTGCAGACCACCCCCACCAGCCTCTCTTGTGTACCTTATCTCATCCCCTCCATCCTCCATTTCCACCTCATACCATCAGAGATCCTATTTCACGGGTGGGCAAACTAAGTCCCAGGGAAAATCCAAAGTGCATACTCTGAAATTAGTGGCTGTTTAGAGGAGTTAGTGTCCTGTCTCCTGACCCCAGCTCTTTCTGCCACCCCAGACAGCCCCAGCATTCCCACCCAGGTCACTAACTATTGATTTCCCGCCATCGTGAGAGACAGACTGAACAGAGCAGTCACCAGAATGAGAAGTCAATATCAGTGTTTGTCATAAGGAGAAAAACACCTTTCTCTGACTTCACTCTCTCCTTTTATAAATCTATCCAGAGAAAAGCCTCCGGAGAGTCCGGGTCACATCTCCAACTCATTGGAGCCCTGGCGGAGGGCACACACCATACTTTGAGGCATTCTTAGAATAAACCAGAAATGTATGCAACCTTCACCTGAAGAAACATGGGCAGGGACTGAGAGCTTCCGTCTCCTGACCCATGGAGGGGGGAAAAAGTACTGATTGATGGTCACTTCTTTTTTTTTTCTGGCTCTGTCACCCAGGTTGGAGTGCAGTGGCCGGATCTCAGCTCACTGCAAGCTCCATCTCCGGGGTTTACGCCATTCTCCTGCCTCAGCCTCCCGAGTAGCTGGTACTACAGGCGGCCGCCACATCACCCGGCTAGTTTTTTGTATTTTTTTGAGTAGAGACGGGGTTTCACCGTGTTAGCCAGGATGGTCTCGATCTCCTGACCTCGTGATCCACCCGTCTCGGCCTCCCAAAGTGCTGGGATTACAGGCTTGAGCCACCGCGCCCGGCCTGATTGATGGTCACTTCTATAGAAAGCAAGTTCGTTTCAAAAATTTCGTTTAGGAGTGAGAGAAATACAAGGCACTCTATACCTGTTTTAGAATAAAGACTGGAAAAGCTAAAATCATCTTGAAAAATACACAAAATAACAAAAACTATACATCAAGCAAGGCAGAGTTGAGTGTACTCTGTACACAGGTATGATTCAGGGGATGAGAAGGGAGGGAAGGTCATTATAGATTACGTACTCCATAATGCGAGACCCTGTTAAACGAGGCTTAACCCGAAGCTTTCCAGCAGTTCCACTTTGTAGACCCTACATTCACATCCGTCAACACAGCTCTAAGAATGTTTATCTCAGCACTAGTTATAAGGGCAGAAAACTGGAAACAACCTAAATGTCCAATGATAGGGGATTTACTGTATAAGTTGAGGACATGCTTCGGGTGAAAAACTGTTAAGCCATTAAACATCTAAGTTAGATCTGTATTTACAGACACGAAAAGAGGCCATGAAAACTGCGGAGACAACAGGCTTCAGAACCGCATAGCCTCGTTTAGTGAAAATGGTATCTCCGCAAATCTGCATATGTGTATACAGAGTGAAAGACAGCTATAAAAGAACACTTAAAATAGTAATAATGATGGCTTCTAGGTGATAACATGTCAAGGGGTTATTCCTTTTTTGCACACTGGAATGGCTACAAAGACCTTGGATAAAATGTTAAGAAATGGTTTGACTTGTAAGGAAAATAGTAAGAAAGAATTGATTCTATTATTGAAATTTAGAAGTCCTTGGCATCAGTCACATGGCATTACAGGGACTTAGTAGACATCTCTGAGCCATTATGCTGGATGGTTCCAGAGGCTTCTGGAAGTTCCAAGATCCTATTTAAGATAGGCATTTCCGCTCCTATACCCTTGAAGGCACCTCGATGCTAAGGTCTCAGGTGGTTGCAGAAAGAGTTTGTCCCCAGATCCCAGACCCTGTCCTCCTCATCACTCTAAGGAAGAGGGCATCCATACCAGACCTTCCAGGACCCAACGGTACAGCTGTGTTCACTGCTCACATACCCGCTTCTGGCAGGACTGACGGACATCCTCCAGTTCCTCCTCCTGGTCCTCACGGTCCTTCTGGTGCATCTGCTTCATCCGCTCGATCTCCAGCTCAAACCGCTGGCGGAGCTGGGGGGACAGCAAGGACAGCACGTGAGGGTGACCCACTCTAACTCTCCAAGCCCTCCATGTCATCCTTGGCATTCCAATTGCATTTTTATTGTTGGAATACATAAATGAGAGTCAAGTTATTTCCCTAGGCATCCTGGGAGGTCACCAATGGTGGGTAAATAGATTAAATATTGCCTCTATCCATTCTTGTGCTTATAACAGACATCACATATCAATCACACTTTCCCACTGAGTTTAGATGCAGCCTCAGAATCCTTCTCAACACTCTTTCTTTTTTATTTTTGAGATGGAGTCTCCCTCTTGTTGCCCAGGCTGGAGTGCAATGGCGCAATCTCGGCTCACTGCAACCTCCGCCTCCTGGGTTCAAGCGATTCTCTTGCCTCAGCCTCCCAAGTAGGCATGTGCCACCATGCCTGGCTAATTTTTGTATTTTAGTAGAAATGGGGTTTCTCCATGTTGATCAAGCTGGTCTCAGGTTGATCAACTGACCTCAGGTGATCCACCTGCCTTGGCCTCCCAAAGTGCTGTTATTACAAGCGTGAGCCGCTGTGCCTGGCTCCCTTCTCAACACTCTTAAGATGAAACATATTTCTCATTCCTGGAGCAGGCATCAGTGATGGTTTTCTGGGTGGGTGGATAGGTAGATGAATGGTAGGACAAAAATTTATGAAGACATGAAAGCCTGGAAAAGAAGATGACTTGCCCAAAATGTTATCTTAGACAATTCACTTTACCTCTGGGTTAGTCCTCTTTCTCTGTAGAAAACAACCGTCTTAGAATGCTACTATGAGAATTAAATGAGATGATATAAAGCACCTAGCACAGTATCTGATACATAAATATTATTTTCTCTTTCCCCATTATTTCAAAAACAGAAAAGACTATCCCCTCCCTCCCCAGCAACCTGACATAATTAAGAGGTGTGATCCCATGAATGAGCTGGGTCTTTACACAACAACCTCCAAAACACATGCAGCAGGCATAGATCTGTGCACAATGCTGGAACTGTGTGAAGTCATATAAAGGATTCTAGAGTGGAAGGCAAAAGAGTCATGAGTTCTAGGTCTAGTTCAAGACTTATACTTTCCTGATCTGCATGATTGACAGACTGGCCCAAGTCCTGGCTTCTCAAATTTTGTGGCACATTAGAATTACAAACGCATTTTTAAAACATACAAATTGCAGAGCTTCACCCTAGACCTACTGGAGTAGAATCCCCAGGGTACAGGGCCCAAGAAAGCTTTGAAGCTTTCCTTTATCTATCTATACTCTTTAATGCTATTGGACCTGGAAAAAGCATTTGGAACTCAATAGTGTAGATGGGTGATACGGTTTTGCTCTGCGTCCCCACCCAAATCTCATTTTGAATTGCAATTCCCATAATCCCCACATGTCAAGGGAAGGACCTGGTGGGAGGTGATTGGATCACAGGGGGTGGTTTCCCCTGTGCTTTTCTCACGATAGTGAATGAGTTTTCACATGATGTGATGGTTTTATAAGGGTTTGACTGTTCCTGATTCACACGCCCTCTCTTGCCGGCCACCATGTAAGACTTGCCTGTTTCCCCTTCCACCATGACTGTAAATTTCCTGAGGCCTCCCCAGCCATGTGGAACTGTGAGTCAATTAAACCTCTTTTTTGCATAAATTGCCCAGTCTCAGGCAGTTCTTTACAGCAGTGTGAAAACAGACTAATACAATGGGTTACCTTGTAGAAATTATAACTTTCTGATCATTTACTCTACTGAGCCAGCACCTCTCACCATGCTTTTGGAACTTCACAAGTGCTGTCCCCAACATGGAAATTAAGCTCAGAAAAAACAATCTGGGTCTTTTAAAACGTCGATAATATTCCCTGCTATGCCGTGGTGAGGAGCAAAAAGGATAGTGTACGGGAGAGGCCCTGTTACAGTTCCTGGCATAAAGTAGGCTCACTTTAAATGTCAACTTCATGCCTTTTTTTCCTTTAAAATGACAGGGGTTATGGGAAGATAATCCAAAACCAAGGAGCCTGAGCAAGCAACTATAATATTTCTTTTTCATTTTTTCTAGCCTCTTGGATATTCTTGACATCTGCAATACCATTTATGTCAAACTTATACGAGTTAACATAAAATTCCCTGGAAAAAGTATTGTATTATAATCAATAAATATCTACTGGATGTCTACAAGGGCACAATGCAGCCTGGGGTTATGGGTGAAGCTGAAGACGGATAAAAGTGTTGAGTCAGCCTCACCTCCTGGGTGAACTGAGCGCGGAAATTCAGGAAGTTGCATTAAGTTTTGGGTCCCTGAGGCCAGGGTAATATATTTTTTGCTTCCAAGCATCAAGTGGTTCCCCAGTGGTATCTTAAAGAGTTAACACAGTTTTTCAAGAGGGCTTGTTTTATTCTTGGCTCTGGGAAGATCCTGTTCATGTAAGGAACACAAGGAACACTGGGTTGCTACATGGCACTGCACCGTCATCCATGCCCTTTAAAGACCTACACAGATATTCCACCTTCTTCACAAACCTTCACTGATTCATAGCTGTGGCTGGCAGGAAGCTAGGGGAGAGATAAGGCTCCATATTTGATTGTACAGACAAGGAGACTGATGTCTGGAGGAAACAGGGGTTGCCTAAGGTCATATAGGCAACAAGCTGCCTCAAAGACCCCGTATTACAGCTCCTTGAATATCCTACGGGTATCCTGTCTCCAGGCTTTTGCACAGGCTGGTCCTCTGCCCGGAACTCTCTCATTCAGCCAATTCTCATTCATCCTCCAGCTTCCCGCTTCAGTAAACGTCACTTTCTCTAGGAATTTTTCCCTGATCTCTCCCTCAACCCTGCTGTCATGGCCAGATCTTCAAGTTTAACATTCCTCTAACACTAAGCATGACTATAAACTTTGGGAGGGCAGAGATTGTGTCTGTCTTATTTGCAACTGCACCCTTAGCATCCACAGAGTGCGTGATGCAGAGGAAGTACTTAATGAATACAGGCTGACTGAGTAAAGGACTTGTCTTCCTTATCGCTCCTTAGTGAGCATCCAAGACTTTCCGGATCGTGTTCCCCCATACCCATCACCCACATGTCTTGATACTCACTAGGCTCCATCTTGATGGAGTAGTGGTCAGCAAGAAGCAAGAGCTGACCCCTGGCTCCCCCAACCCCTGTCCCACCCATCCCCACTTCAGTTCAACAGAGCTGCTCAGAGTTCATCTGCTTTACACATTCACGACACCCGATCACATTTTCTCGCATAAGGGTGGCCCCAGCATTTTTTTAAAAAACACTTTAAAGTAATTGCCTTTTACAAAATCCCACAAGAGAAATTCGTTTAGAGCCAAGCATCAGAAAAAGTGTTACTTCCCCCAGAAAAATTTTGTTTGTTTGTTTGTTTATCTCAGGCATGTAACTCACATTTCCTGTTTCTCTCTGACCACCAGGAATTGTAGAGCTAAAACTGTTACATGTGTAAGACCATCTGTTTTGCTTTATCTGCATATTAATTTGCTGTCCCCACCGCCCCCGCTTAGTGTCAATTTTAATTTGTATTTTTCTGGTTTGGATTGTTTTATTTATAATTTTTGTATTCTATTATACATATACCTTGTAAGCTGCCTCAAATTATTTATAGAATGAGGTAAATAAACAAGCATATAAATAAGCAAGCAGACAAATAAAATATTCATCTGGTACTTTGCAGAGGGTGTTGGTACAAGAGTATTTTATATTTTTGTCTTACTCCCTTTGTTATTTTATTATTTTATTTTTCCCAAAGAGTAGCACTTCAATCTGCCTTGAAGTTGTGTACAATGCCTGGCACATAGCAGACATTCAAGGCGGTGTGGGGTCAGATGGCATAGGTTCCAAATCCCATCCTTGACACTTTCTCCACGTCTCTGAGTCTCAACTTCCACATCTAAAGTGGGGATAATACTAAGATCTCCCTACATAAAGTTCTTGGGGAGATTCATGAGATGTGTGGGGAGAGCTTAGGGCTGAGGCTAGTACACAGACAGTACTCAATGAAGGTTAGATATTTGGTCAACAGCTATTTATTGAGCATCAACTATGTACCTGGCCTCATTCTAGGCTCTAGGATTACAGTAAGAAGCCAGAGAAACAGAAAAACAATTTGACTTCAGGAAGCTTATATCCTAATGAGAGAGAAAGGCATAAAGCAAACTTTTAAAAAATACTATCTAATATGATGGCAGGTACCACAAAGGAAAGCAACCCAGCTAAGGAGACAGGAAATGAATGTAACATAGCAGGAGCTATTTGCAAGGTGATTAAGGCAGGCTTCTCTGAGGAGGTGACACTGAACCTTGCAGGAGAAAACTGGATCAGGAAGGATCTGAATGTCAGACTTAGGAGCTTAAAAGTTCCCTGGGATAAAAGGGAGCCACTGAAGGATGAGGAGCAGTCAAGTGAGGCACCCATGTCGTATTTTAATAACATCATTCTTCATTGGAGACATGGAACAGGGTGTTGCCCTGGGACAGGGCTTTCCTACCTGCTCCAGCTGCTTGATGGTGTTTTCCTGCTGGCTCTGGACTTTCTGTTGCTCCACGGCACTGGATTCCAACTTCCAGAGCCTCTCCTTCAAGCCAGCAACACAATTTTCCCCCAGAGAGGGTGACCCCAGCAGCTCTCGTTTATGGTCCTGTAGCATCTCCACCTCCTGCTTCAGCTGCGAGGCTTCCTGCTCCTTTTGCTACAGAGACAAAGAGGACAGAGGTCCGGAGTCACATGAGTATGTCTCCCTCCTCCTCCAGAGATACCTCTACAGTCAACTGGGGCTGGAGTGGTGCTTTCCACTTTCCAGTGCCTGCCGTCTCCACCTGGACTGCACGGCCCCTCACAGCGCCCCCTGTGGGACACCAGCAAGGGCTGCTCTCAGTACTGCTCATACAGTCATGGAGCTGGGGATGGGAGGTGGGATTGGAGTAGACTGTCCCTAGAGTTCAATCTCAGAGCACCTACAAGAAGGGTTGACCCCATTTGTAAGGGAAGTGGAGGCACATCGCTAAAGCTTCCCTGTGTGCCTTCTGAGGCTAGGATTGAGATGTTGGAGCAGGGAGGCAAAGTGTTCAGAAATGACTCTTCCAGGTTAGAAAGTCAGCTCCAGGATCAAATAACTCTTGGCTAGATCATGAAGGAGCTGAGTACCAGGCTAAAGTGCCCAGAGGTTCTCCTGCGAGTAGTAGAGAACCACAAAAGGATGAGGAGCAGCTGAGTGAGGCACCCGTGCTGTATTTTAGTAAAATCTCTCTGCACTGGAGCCTGCATGGACCAGGGCATTGCTCCTGGACAAAGTTATAGCTAACTCATTCTCTGCTGAGCCTGTCGTACCTCCCAGGTAAGCACCTCAGAACCTGTGCAGGTAACTGGAGCAAGATCAAGACATCAAGATTGCTCAGATAAAGGCTGATTATCAATTTGCCAGCCACTGTTTGCTATTTTATTTAGACACATTGGGACCCAGCTGCTTGACAGACCAGGATACCCTGGTGAAGTTTTCTCTCTGTCACCATTTGCAGCAGGTGCACGCTGGAGTTTCCTGAGATTCAGCCACCAAGAGCCAAGACAGCTCTGTGTCCCCTATCCCTTACCTTCAACTGCTGCTGAAGCTGGCCTAGCTCCCACCGGACACTGGTGTTCTCCTGGGTCACTTTCTCACGGAGACCCTTCTCAAACACAGACTCACCTAGGGCCTGGGCCAGCTGCAGGTCAAACCTGTCCAAAGCAGAACATGCGTCAGGGCTCTGTAGGCAGGTGAGTAGGGGAGTGATTGAGGCAGGGGCAGGGAGGGGCTGCAGAGAGGCTACTAGATTCCCAAGAACCATGAGAAAGAGAGCGAAAGGAAGAAGAAAGAGAAAAAAAGAATGAGGAGTTGGAAATTTTTCCCAATGCTTTTACATAAGGCTGTGGATGTAGGATGGGAATCTGAAAAATCACAGAGCAATTTTTAGGGTTTAGATAGAGTTGCCACAAAAATACTTGAACTTATTATTCTAGATTTCTCCCTCGCCAGAGTCATTCTCCCTGAATTTCCACCGTTAGACTGAAACTTCTGCTGCCCTCATCCGCTCCCTACTAAAATGCTCATCTAAATGCTAACCCTAAAATCTAATAAAAATACATGGACAAAAATGAAAAGAGAATAAAATTATATACAGATATAAAGGATATATTTTTAAAACTGGCCAGGTGCGGTGGCTCATGCTTGTAATCCCAACATTTTGAGAGGCCGAGGTAGGAGGATCACTTGGGGCCAGGAGTTAAAGACCAGCCTGGTCAACAAAGTGAGACCCCATCTCTATTTTTAAAATTTTAAAATTAAAAAAATTTTAAATTTAAAATTACCTGGGCATCGTGGCATGCACTTGTAATCCCAGCTACTCTGGAGGCTGAAGTGGGGAGGATCACTTGAGCCCAGGAGGTCAAGGCTGCAGTGAGTCATGATTGTGCCACTGCACTCCAGCCTGAGTGACAGAGCAAGACCTTGTCTCAGAAAAACAAAACAAAACAAAACAAAAAACCTGATCTACCTGGTCTGCCAGTCTATGTCAAGGCCCCTTAAATCTATCAGGTCCCATTTGACATCCACTATTTCCTAACCAGTGAGCAAACAAATGGATGTAAGTAGAATGAGGATATTCTACATTTCACATTTTAACATATTGTCTGGCTTATACTCTCCTATGCCACACTAAAGCATGCTGATTATTGATAAAATGATGGACATTTATACATTCTTGTCCTCATTTGTTTCTCAAGCAGAAAACACAAAGACTAGTCAGTCCTACTGAATGTCATCCAGGGAATTAACGCCTTGTTAGGGGCCCTCCTGCCCTTCTGTGATGACCACTGGGTGAGAAGCACTTCCTGGATGTTATGTCACTCTGTTCAGTTGTCTCAGCCTCCTGGCAGTATCAGAGATGAGGAAACCAATAGAGAAGCCCTTGCCAAGCCTCAGTAAGGTGTGACTTTGAGTCACTTGCCCTTGGCCCAAACAGGAAGTCTCATTGCTCCAGAGATCTTGATATGGCAGAAGTGGGCATGGGGTTTGGCCTTTGGTGGCAAGAAAGTCTCCCTTGTTATAAGATTATCCAATGTTCCTTAATATTAGACTATCACTCAAAGTCTCAGACTCCTGAGAGACCCAATCATAAGGGAGCCCTCCAGTTGGAACAGCTCAGGAGCTTTCTGATTGGCTGTTGGTGACATCATCCAAAGGGCACTATTTGCTGCCTCTGAATGGAAGCATTGTGATGAGCGTGATGATCCAGCCGTCCCAATGTGCCAGATCCTGGGCTGGGATCCATGTCGTTCTTACAACAATTCAGCAAGAAACATGTCATTCAATCCATTCACTGATGAGGAAACTGAAGTTCAGAGAGGAGGAGTGATTCGGCCCCAAATTCCAAAGTGGTGGAAGTGGATTTGGGCTCAGCTTCCCTAGTGTCTTAGCTAGTCTCCCATCTACCTGTCCGTTCCTGGGACAGGTGAGGGAAGACAGTGGGGGCCAGACAGTAACTGATGGTGCAGAGGAGTCCTTGACTTAACAGGCCACTTGATGCCAAAGAGTAGCTACTACAGACCCCAACTCCTACCAAACAGCTCACACTGACCAGCCAATCACCTGAGGCCAGAGAGATTTGCACACAACCTTCACCCTGCTAAGAAAGGGCCTTGGGTCCAGCCTCCCTTGAGTGTGGGAGCCAGTGAGTCTAGCCAGGGCTTACCTGGTGTTTCATCAGCCCTCAGAACCAAGCTTTGTGACCCACAGGGTAATCATGCCACAAACAATCCAACCAAAATGAAACCATTCCAGGCCACTCTGAACTTAGAAGCCAAAGTGGCAAACAGAGACCTCTACCAATGGGGAGACATCCCTCTGTCCTGGGCCCAGCAAACTCAAGAGGCAGCTGCATCTACATTTCGATTAAGCATTGAGAGATGCAAGGAAGTATTTACTGACTTCTAGATTTTTCCTTCACCATAATCATTCTGCCCAAACTTCCACAGTTAGACTGAGACATAAACGCTAATCTACCTGGAAGGGTAATGCCTGCTATCTGCAGTTGGCATCAAAACATAAATTAGCTTCTGCCAAGAGATGGTAACAGAGCAGAGGGCATCACAAGAAAGCTAAGTTTTGAGAGGAGGACATACAAATATGAAGAAATAGGAACTTTCCTGAGGGGGGTATCCTGGGGAGATTCATAAGTCCCTGTAATGAGGGATTCTGTCCAAAGGGAAAAGGAAAGACCAGAAAGATGGAATTTTCTGGCTGTGCAAATTCCAGAGGCTGGCCCCTTTCTCATCAGAGAGCTGAAACCCTCTGTTAGGTCTTTCAGAACAGGAGTAGAACCCATAGTTAGGGGCCAAGAGGGTTACAGCGGGGAGAAACCTGGGGAATGATGGAGTCCAAACCTCTTGTTTCACAGACAGGAGTATATGTCAGACCCATTCTTCAAGATCAGATGACCTGTTAAGTCCAAGGACTCATCTGAAACATTAGTCACTCTCTGGCCCAGAGAGATGGTGTTATTTGCCAAGGTCACACAGCAGGTGGCCAAGATGGAGCCAAGCCATTTTCCCTACTGCAAGGGTAGGGTTCAGCCAGAGCACCCATGGGGAGGTGGAAAGGGGAACAGAGTGATATATCAATAAACGCAAAATAAGCCTTTCTTATTTTGGGGGTGGAGAGCAAGCTAACGATCTCCCAAAGACTTTTTTCAGATGAAGAAGCCAGCTCAGGAAAGCTGAAGGATAAATAAGAGAAATGATATTTAATGCAGATCAAGTTCAAAATCTATGCCACCTCCATGGAAATATAATTCTGCTTCCTACTTCTTGGAAAGGAGGCAGTTTTCACAAAATCACGTCTTGGCTCACGCAGGAACATTTGTCTGTATTTTGTCATGGGCCTTCTAAAAGAGGCTGCTTCCCACCTATTTGCCTTCTATGACATCTCCATTAGGTCTTGGCTGGCTCAAAACAGGACCCCTGTATACCTTTACCCTCACCAAGTGAGCTGGAGAACTTCAGACACAGCCAAGGTGTCCAAGCATCACAGGTTCTGAGGTTTTGCATGAAGAAGCCTATGAGTGTGCGAATCTGGGTACAAATCCAGGCTCCACCATCACTCCGTTGTAACAGCAACCCAATGGGAACGCAAGTATGGGAACCACACTGCGCAAATTCAAGATTAGCATCTTGCTGGTGCACAAGGCCCAGTCTCTGCCAGAATGGCTCATATGATCTGAGAGTCCAAATCCTAAATGAGAAGGCCATATTTTGGCCTCCTCCTTATTCTCTAGTCCTATTTTCACCAATGGAAATAGGAACCAGGATCAATCCACTTAGATGTACTGACTGCATCATTTAGTCCTCACCACAAGGGGGCGATCTTATCCCCAGCCTACGGGTAAGGAATTTGGCTGGGAAGGGCTGAATGACCTGCTCAAGGTCACACATCTAGAAAGAGGCACCTTCAGGACTTGAATGAGATGACTTTAGTATCAATACCTGGGCTCCAAATCACCATGCTGTCTTGACCCTCCGCAATAAACCCTTCGCTCGACAAATGGGATGTTAAGGCCCAGAAAGGCAAAGAAAGCTCCCCAAGGTCACACGGTCAATTGGCAACATAGCTGAGGCTGGCTAAGAGAAAAGAATCATTTCTTGCTGGATTCTTGGGAGACCCATACAGGAATAAGGTGTGAGGGGACAGGGAGGAAGATTAGAGCAAAACAAGAGAGTTGAAGTGAGGGAGTTAGAAGGAGAACCTGGATACCTGAGAAGACCCCAGCTCCAATGTAGCCCACCCTGGCAGCCCAGGTGATGGTGAGGGATGCAACTCACTTCTTCTGCTTCTTCTCCAGCTCATGGTTTCGACTTTGTTGGTTCTCTAGCAGGACGCGGGTGTCCTCCAGGTCACAGGTAAGATGGTGGCACTTCCTCTTCAGTTGGTGAGCCATCTTCTTGGCCCCATCATAAGCACTTCGCAGCTCCCCGAGCTGTAAGAGTAATAGAATGAATTACCTGGCTCTGTGGGCATGGAATGCGCTTTTTACTTTGTATTTCAAGGAGTTGCTATTTCCAAGGTGTGTAATGAGAAAACAGCAGATGCTGGAATGGGGAGACCCTGTCTTGACTACCTTCCTCCTGGGCCACCTCCAGGATGCTACTTTTCTGAGCCTCAGTTTGCTCAGAGGTAAAGTGGGGATAATTCCATCACTCTCTTAAGGTTGATTTTACTTTAAATCTCCAGCCAATGCTCCCACAGACTTTACCTACCCTGCCTCAACTTGATGACCCCCTGAGCCACCAGATAACTCATATCCCCACCAGCCGACACGATCGGAAGGGATATGTGAGGATTAGCCACAGAGCAGCCAAAATGACACACCTAAAAAATCTGACCTGGAATCCCAAGTGACAAGCCTTAAAGGTTAAAGCAGCAAATGGTACTTTGCATGGACTGAATTAACACCTGAATGCACACGGCCTTAAACAAACAAACGTAAAGACTCTTGCATCTTCCTCCAGGAAACACTCTCCCAAATGTCCTAGTTTAGGTCTGGGAAAGAGCAGAGCATGCAACTCAGCACACTGGCTTTGAAGAAATGGCCTCATTACAGAATTGCTTTAAATAAGCAAAACTCTGAGTTAATGAAGCCTGTAATTCTAAATTCAGTATTTGAAGGCAAATGGGATGTTTTCTTATATTCTGCCGCTCAGAGAAGGTTGCAGTTTTATTACTTTTTAATGTATCATAAATATCCCCCTTCCCTAGGGAAACTGACTCAACTTTGTAATTTGTTATTAAAGAACTGGGCTGCTTTCCTGCAGTTGTCCATCTGTGTTTATCTATGGTTCAAGTGTCTCTTGAGGACGACGATGCATGTTCATTTTGAAAGTGACCACTAAAACCATCACCACCAGCATAGAGGATATCAAGAGTCACTTCCATTGTTTATAAAATCCCATGTGATCTCACCCAGGCCCACCTCTGCAAGGCAATCACATGATACTTTTTGCTCACGTTGAGAATAGAATAGATACACAAATATAACCTCCACCCTATGGCTCTCATATCGAATGGGAGAGACTATGAAGTGCGTAGGCAATTACAGTACAGCATGATGAGGCCTATGTTTTGGGAGACAACTCAGGGACTCCCAACTCAATCTGCGTCAGCAAAGACTTTCTGGAGAGAGTGACATTTAAGCTAAGATCTTAAGAATAGTTGGAGATATCTAGGCAGGAGAGAAAAAGAAAGACTGCTCTGGGAAGAAGAAATAGCATATGCAAAGTCCCAGAGGTGAGAAAGAATCAGACATTTTTGGAAGGAGAAAAAAAAAAACGGAGTGTGGCTGGAATCAATGCTGTGCTGGAGTCGGCTGGTACCAATCTGAAAGAGATGCACAGAGCCAATTCTGTGCATCCCTTTCAAATTCCATGTTAGTGACATCACAATGGTAGTTTGAAATTGGCCATGGTGGGAGAATTTACACCAGGGAAATTGGCAAGTGCTACAAATCAGGGCTTTTTCTTTTTCCTGGAGTCATTTACTAGCACACAATTTGTTGGAGTGTGAACTGGTTAGAATGTAGATGAGGGATAGTTGGAGGCCACAGAAGACAAGCAAAGAGACCAAACTATCTGTACATTCATCTAGAAAGGCTAGATAAGATTATATTATATATAGATAAGATTGCATTAGATTTGTAATGTCACCTTCAAGAAAGAAGGACATTTCAGGATATCAGAAATGCAGAGGATGCAAAGCCCTAACAATAATGGTGCATACTAATATTATGGCGGCCAAGATGAGTGGGAAGAACAGTTGATAAATCCAGAAATGTCCTTTAGGATAGAGGTTTGTGTTTCAATGTCTAGACAGAGACAGAAGACAAGGCTCTGGGCTCATGGAAGGTGAAGAGTTGGAATGAAGACCGTTGCACTGACAAACCCCTCAAAGAACTGCATGCACCTCAGTGAGAAGAGAAAATAAAAGCTCCACATCCTGGCCTGGAAGGTGGTAAGAAAGCTTGCTTTCACCCTGGATCTAGGTGGGGGAAGAAGTACTCTCATAAGAATTTTAAACCCCAGGTCTAAGCCTCATGTGGGTTTAGAGATCCAACTGACAATTTTTACACGCTGCAAAAAATCTGAGACCAAGAATTTAGCATTATCTCAGGGACTGCTGCCAAAGAAAGTGAAAAAGGGTTTCTTCTAGCAGAACACACCCACGACCCTGTTATCAAAGGGCTCCCATCAAAATCAATAGAATGTTAAAAAAAATTAAATCTCCTGCTGAAGATTAACTCACGATAAAAAATAGCTAAACACACATACAAAAATTCACTGGGAGAGAAACAAACAAACAAAAAAAAACATTCCACAATGCAGAACACCTGGGACTACTGCGGGAGGAGCAGAGAAACCTGTTGAAGATGAGCTCAAAAACACAATTTACAAAACACGCAAGGAAAAAAATCCACCATGAGAGTCAGCATACTTTATGATCACAGAACAATCTGAAAGAGACTCTGAAACATTCCTTGGCTGCAGTGTGGCAGGTGGTTGAGAGGAGAGGCCAGAGGCAAGGAGGACAGCTAGGAGGTGGTTGCTTTGGTCTGGATGAGAGATGAAGGTAGCAGATTAGAATAGAGGCAACAGGGAAACGTGACAGTTTTAAGACCACTGATAATTATGTAATAGATAAGAAACATGAGTTAAAGGGACTTCCACAGGGTTCATGTAGAAATGGAACTGGAACTCAGATATCCTGAGTTAATATCCATGTTCTTTACACCACAGAGCAGTCTCTGGATAGAAGATCCACATGTACAGACAATATTTTTCATGTCTCTCAGTGACCAGCATTTTAATAACAGTGGAGATGGAGAAACCTGAAGTGGCCGGTATCCTCTTCCTCCCTCCCCAGGGTCAGCTAATACCTCGATCACCCACAGTGGAGGTGAGGGCCTGCCCACTCTCTGACACTTCTGTGGCCCAGACTATCCCCACATCTTACCTTTTGCTCCAGCTCTTTCCTGGCTGTCAGCTCCAAGTTCAGCCTCTCCTCGCATTGCTGCAGACGCTTTCTGAGGAACTCGTTCTCCATCTGAGCACAGTCGAAGCGCATTTGCCACTCGTCTGCTGTTTAACGGAGTCAGGGAGACCAGGATAAGAGGCCAAATGAGTGTAAGGCAAGAGTGAGAGTGGCTCTCCTCCACTTTCTTGGCTCTTGGCATGCCATTTCACAATATTCACAGAGCCCCTGAGCTTCAACCTTGGACCAAGAAACTATGCTTTAACTCTGAGTTTTAAATAACGCTTCCTTCAGGCAGCCTGTCCTGACCACCTCCAACTGTCTAAAGTTCTTGACTGCTCACTCTTCTAAGGTTGGTTGCCTTATACTGTTTAGTTGTCTCTATAAGTACATTCATATCTTCCCTTTTCCAAGGAAATTTCATAATCCTTAAGGGCAAGGGAGCTGTTTCAGTTATCTGTGAGTCCTTCACACCCTCTGGAAGAGTTCCCTACAAGCAGATTCCCATACATGTTGATACAAGCTCATGGATTGCTTAATGAACCTAATACAATAATCAGGTAAAAAGAGTCATCCTACTAGCCAAATTTATTGGGTTGTACAGAGTATATAATCATTGGCTGTTGGTCCAATTAACAAATAAGTAAATTAGCAATAATTCAAGACTACTAAACTGGTCAGAAGATGTCCCCACAAGATAAGATGGATACCAAATCCTTTGATTTGGTAAACAACTCAAAAAAATTATTGGCTGGTTTGATTAAAACTGTTAGACTGATTAGAATGGGTTATTTTAGGTTGATATGTCTTATCTTTTGACTATCTGAATAATGGAATAATGCCCATTAAGTTAACGAAGCTATGGAAAACATTCCACAAGTGGATGACCAAAGATAAAGACCATCCACTTATTCACCTATCATCCATCCATCTGTCCTTCCATCCATCCATTCACACATTCATTGAGCACACTACTTTGTACAAGATGCAAGGGATAGTGAAATGAATAAGAAGCCATATCCACCTACCTTCCAGAATAATCAAGCAGGGGAAACAAGTAAAAAGACAGCTGAAACCTAGTATGATCAGGGCTTTCATAAAGAAGCTTATAGAAATCAAGAAGAGAACTCAAATTAATAAGACAACAAACTTGTTTTGTTCATCATTGTGTTCCCAGAGTATCCTATAATGCCTAGCATTTGGTAAATGCTCGATAACTTCCACTGGAAAGGTGGATAATTGAATGGATAGGATGTCTGACTAGATGATACGGTGGAGGATTAATGGATAAACAGTTGGTTGTGTAGGTGGAATAGTGGATGGATGGATGGATGTTACTGTAGACAGAGAAGTGGGTGCATGAGTGGATGAATGCATGGATTGAGAGATTATAAATAAATGGTAGGGTATATGGATAGGTGGGTGAGTAGATGGGCAGATGGGTAGATGGATGGATGGGTAGATGGATGGATGGGTGGATGGATGGATGGATGGATGAATAGATAGATGGATGGTAGGATTAAGTTCTTGAAAGAGGTGACCTCAATAGAGATTTCTACATCATTAACCAAAGGAAGGACGGTATAATAATAAAGAGTTAAAGCTTGTTCAAGCTTCCACCAAGGTAAAAACATCATGATGGGAAAAGCACACTATCTCTCCACCAGGAAAAGCCTCACAATCACAAGCAGCATGGCCTGCAAAAGTAAGAAGCAGCAGCAGAAAGCATTTCTGCAGCTTCCCATGTACTCTGTGCCATGATGTGCTATAGAGCAAGTGGCATGAGTGGGCAACACGAACAAGAGGGGAAACTGTTCTCCTTCAAGGCTCATCTCTACCTCCAATCTCCCTGCCCATGAGTGCCACCCTTAATCAACGTGTTTTCCTGAGTTTACCTGATCTCCCCATTTATTTTGCAAATATCTTGAGAGCAGGGCCCAATTAAAATTCCTCTGTAACCCGCACAGTGTCCAGCTCAGTGCTGAGTGCATATCATAAAAGGTTCTCTTTAAATATTTAGCAATGCATAAAGGAAAACATATTTTTTAAATAATTCATACTCCATCTTGAACCATAGAGATGGTTGTGGTACCACTGCAATGATATGATTAAAACGTTTTACTGCTTCTTTCAAATTTCCTATATTTTAGACATTTTCTATAACGAGTATGTATTACTTTCATAATGAAAAACAAAATATTTGTGGGTTGGCTTCTTGGAATGAGCATCCAGAGCTGAGAGCCCACATAGCATTGTGACTAATGTGCTCATGAGCTAAGCACATGTCCCCCTCTCATTAACACCCCAGTCTTAACAGAGGAAAACAAACTGGGAAGCATTATTTGGACATGAATCTCACGCAGATGGAACTGACACTGGCGTTCCTCTGGGGATTTTTTAGAAATTACCTCCAAGGCCAGAGACTGTCCCACCCTACTGATTCTATACCAACATGTTCCCCTCTCCCTATGTGTACCCTACCTTGTTGGGTCTCGCTTTTAAGAGAGCCTCAAACTCATCTGTATTAACCTCCCCGGTACATGCCTGCCACGGGGGTAGCCAGGATGGAAGAAGAACAAGAATTCAACAGAAAATAAATACGCATTGTCTCTTCTCCACAGACCCCTGATCTCCATTCCTCTGAGTGTCCCTGACATTTCAAGGGCACAAATTACCTGGACACACGGAGGGAATAATGCTGACATTTTATAGAAGCTGACACACTTGATATCCTTCTCACCCAACTCCATTAGGCTGGGGAGAGTAAGAGGCACAGTGACACGCTGACAAAGATGTCACCAGGCCATCCAATCACAAAGTCTCCAGGAAACTGTGTAAGGACACCCCCAGAATCTCCTGGCACGACTGAACAAATGTATAACATCCCTGGGTAAAACCAAGAGTCCTCTTGCCTTCTCGCCATTCAGTAACTGTTGAGTGTCTGACACTGCTTTACCCTCTGTAAAATGGGGAGAGCTGTAGTTTCTGTTCTGCAGGTTGCTATAAGGATGGACTATGATCTCATTATTCCTCATAATAATAACGGTAAAGCAGCTATTAGCTATTCATCACTCTATGCTACACATGTGGCTAAACATTTTCTATCAATTATTCAAGTCAATCTCCATTTGAAAGAGGAAGAAACTGAGGCACAATTTCTTTGCCCCAAAATCCAAATCCAGAAATACAACTTCATAGGTTCCAACTTTTAACCACCAGACTGCCTTCCTCAAAATTTATATTCTGTTTTTATTTGTATTTTTTCGAGACAGTCTCTTGCTTTGTCACCCAGGCTGAAATGCAGCCGAGGTCTCCCAGGCTTAAGTGATCGTCCCACCTCAGCCTCCCAAGTAGCCGGGACTTCAGGCGCAGGCCACCACATCTGGCTAAATTTTAAAATTGTTTGTAGAAATGGGGTCTCACTGTGTTGCCCAGGCTGGTCTTGAACTCCAGAGCTCAAGCAATCCTCCCACTTCAGCTTCCCAAAGTGCTAGGATTACAGGTGTGAGCCACCACTCCAGGCCTCTGAAAATTTATTTTTAAAATATTCACATAAACATAAACATACCTTGCCTATAAAGCTACTATTTTAAAATCATCACTTGCATTAAAACTAAACAGCACATATCATACGGATAATTTGCTATCTAGGATATTGCTGGATTGTCTGATCAATATCTGCTTATTCCATTAGGCTGTAAGTTCCAAGAGAGTAATGCTGTGCCTGTTTGCTCTGCCAGAGTCGCAGTCCCTCATGCGATGTCTAGCACCTAAAAAGTGCTCTATCTATGAGTGACTGAATAAATGGAAAAGACAACTTTGTCCGTCAGCTTCCAGCCCCAAGGGTCCCAGGCTGCTCACCTCCTCCGGCAGGATTCCTTTCCAAGTCATTCAGCTGAATTTTCTGCTGGGCTTCTTCCAGCTGTTTATTCACGTCTCCCAATTTTTTCTGGACTTGTTCATGCTTGCTCTAGAACAAATGGCTCAAGGTGCAAACTGGAGCTGGACAGAAGACCTGGGCTGGTCATCTTACCCATGGTGCTTCCAAGGCTCGGATTGGCCACCCTCTGCACAGTCCCCTGAGCCATGCAGAATCCAGGACCATGAGCTAGCCACCTTTGGCACATTTCTCACCAAATCACCTCCAAGGCCAAAGACTATCCATCTTCTACACAATCCTCTCCTATTTGCCTCTCTAGCCAGGGACTATCCACCCATAACACTCCCAAGGCCAAGCCTTAGGAGACCTAAGTGTCCCCCAGGACCTTGAGCCCAGCAGTCAGTCAATCTGTGCATCTTGCTTAAGCATACTGATCCCCAATGAGAGGGGTCGGGGGACAGACCCAACCATTTTTAGCCACCGTGTTCAGCCACCCCTGGCCACCCCTGACCACTCACCTTGAGCTCCTGGACCTCCCGGAAGGCCTGTAGCCGCTCTGCCCGCTCACTCTCCAGCACCTGGCAGGCCACATCACCTTTGAAGCGCTCATCAGCCAGCTCAGTGGTCAAGTCAGCAATCTGGGATGGGGAATGGGGCGATCAAGGAAGGGTCACTCAGTGGAGTCACCAACCCTTCTCTCCCCATGCACTGGACCACCTTTGGACAAATCACCAGCTATCATGGGAAAACAACCCTTAAGTATAATCAAGTGGTTAAGAGGATGGACTTCAGAATTTTATTGGTCTTGATGTGGTAGAACTCTTGGTCCAACACTCACTAGCTGTGTAACTTTACACCAAGCAGGATGCCTTGCTGGTTCTCAGTTTTCTCAGACTTAAAGGGGGAAAAACAACTTACGTCATTATTTTGAGGATTCAAGGAGATAATCCATTGAAAGGTTAGCACAGTGGCTGGCACGTAGTAAGTGCTCAGTTTTAAACATGGCCATTTTAGTGGAATCTCTTTGTAACCAGCTTTTAGCAAATCATCTCACTGGATGTACCAACACTGTCCCTCAGTAAGACACACTGAGGGATACCCACAGCACCAGAATGCTCTCCGCCAGACCACCTCTCTGCAATTCTCCATGGCCCATCTGCCCCTAGCAGGTGACAGCATGCACATCCAGCATCAGTGTGTGTGCTCCCAAACTGTTTTTGCCTGTTGCATTTTTACCGTAGCTATCTATTCCGTTCGCTACTACATAAACTTATAGAATATGGCTGGACAGAGTTTCCATGAATACTAGGTTGAATGCCTCGGAAGGAATTAATAAAGGTAAGCTGCTTTTAGAAAATGCTGCCAAATAGGCATTGCAACAACTAAAGAGAAAGTCGAAGTAAAAAATCAGGTTTTTGTATTCAAATTACTTTGCCATTGGCTCTGTTTTAAAGAAGCCACAATTGGAATTCATACAGTTGTATATTACGAGTGTGGTTTGAGAAAGAAAGAATCAATGGGTCCTGCCTCAGAAATGCAGTGATTTCAATTATACATGTAATTAATTTTAAAATAGAATTTTTTAAACGAATTCCCAGCTGCACTGAATTTTTTTTTTCTGATTAACTGACCAGCCACCGATGCCAAATGCCACAGGGCTTCTGTGGCATTACTGTTCCAAAATGAAGCATTCAGGGTTTGAGGATATGGCAGAATACGTAGGGAAGAAATATATGAGTGGAGTGTTTGTGGCTAAGAGGCAGAGAAACCTCTTATGGGAGGCAGCGGAATTGTAAGAAAAGAAAGAGGTAGGGTGCAAGGTTCGAGTCCAGGCTCAACAACTAACACCTTGGACAATCCCTCCTGCCCTGGAGCCTTAGTCACTTGAGCTGTAAAATGCATTGAATTAGGTGTGGTCACATGTCCTCTTGCTGCAAATTTTGCATGTGAAGATGTTAGAACGCCTCACTCTTTCATCGGACCCTCTGCATCATGACTGATATTTAGGGACAACTCTGCATTATTTTGACTGAGAAGGTAAATAGTTCTTACAATGAGCAATGTAGCTGCCCTTCCTGAGCTAGCCTCTCTTGGTAGCTTAGGCAGGCTCAAAATTTATTCAGCTGTCCCATGAAGAAGGAAGATGCAGATCTATGTTCTGACATAAAAAAAATAAATATCCCCAAGAAATATTGCCAAAGGGAAAAAAAAAAGGCAAATTTGCAGAATAGAATGTTTGGTGTCATCTCATTTTTGTTTGCACAGAACAAAGCACTCCCAAACTGTTAATTGGGATTTTTTTTTTTTTTTTCCTGGAAGGATGATGGGATCACAGGGAACTCCAGTTTTCTTGTGATGCATTTCTGTATTGTTGTTTTTTTAAACTGATTTTGTAATGAGAAAACAAAACAAAATATCTTTCAAAAAGAGTGAAAAAAAAAAAAATCTGAGGCTGCTCTGTGCATTCCATGCTCCCCATCTGTTTCACTTCTCCAGCCCATCTGCTTCCCACCCTGTTGACCGCATCACCAACTGCTGAGACCAAAATGCACATTTTAATAGACACAGAGGGGAAAGAAGGCTTGGGGGAAGCACTGCAAAGTCACATCACGCGTAAATGGCAGAACTGAGATTCTGAACTCAGACCAGTCAGATCCAAGTCAGGACCTCCAGTTAATTAATGAGGGACTCTCCTAGGGTGCTCCTGGTTGTCTCCAGCATGGAGCTTTCTCTTGCTGTTCCTTACACTGTGCACCGGGGAAGTCCTTACGTGGCACTGATCTCGGAGAGTTGTTAAAATGCAAATTCTAGGGCAGAGCATGATAGCTCATGTTTCTAATCCCAGTGCTTTGAGAGGCTGAGGTAGGAGGATCACCTGAGGCCAGGAGTTCAAGACCAGCCTGGGCAACATAGCAAGGCCTTGGCTTTACAAAAAAGTTTTTAAAAATTAGCCAGCTCAGATGGTGCGTGCCTATAGTCCCAGCTGCTCTGGAAGCTGAGGCGGGAGGATCACTTGATCCCAGGGGTTCTAGGCTGCAGTAAGCTATGATCACACCACTGCACTCCAGCCTGGGTGACAGAGTGAGACCCTGTCTCTTAAAAAATAAAAGCAAATGCAAATTATAGGACTCTCAGACCCCTAAACCAGGATCTCTAAAGCATAATTCAGGAATCTACATTTCAACTTGCTCCAGGGTGATTTTTATGGACAATAAAATGTAAGAATTACTGCCCTAGAAACTGCCAGGATCTCCTCCTAATTTTGGCCTCACAGTTGGATTTGGAGGGGTTAAATTTGGTTACCTGTGCAAGATCATTCTTGCTGCAAGAGTGCTGATTTGCACTGGCCACAGGATACAGGGCGGTGCAATCCAGGAATGCCCCAGGTCACACCCCTAACCACCATCCTTGAAATCAGCATTAATTCCAAGCACCAGGATTGTGTTCTCTCCACCTTAGCCAATTAGTGTGAAATTTAATTTATGCTAATCGGCCTGAGCAAGGGGAGCACACAACTAATTTGATGCGTTCATTTTGAGTTTCACAGAACCCAAAGGCTGGAGCCCAAAGGACAAGTAGTATTTTCATACTGGGGGGAATGACACATGCTTTTCACGGAGACAAGTGGCCCCTGACCTTCCCCTGTCCCCACAAATCCCTATCCCTTCCCACACCATGGGGCACAGCGGCTTTGGAGCAAGGTGAGGAGCAGGCACCGTGCTCAGACCTGTCAGGGGATTGCAAATTGAAAACCAATTTAATGAAGGGGGGAGTCTGGTCTGCAAACCCAGAAGAGTCCTTGCAGATTCCTCAAGAACCAATTACCTAGAAATTATCTTGAAAACCTCTCCAGATCTACCACTTGGCCAAATCAACAGAAATATTCTTTCTATTGAGGGACAATTACTCCAAGGGTCTGCCAGAGAGAAGGGGACAGGAATTAATACATTTGTTGTATATTTTGTATAGAGTGGAACAGAAAAAATACATCCTGTGCATTGGTCTTATTGGCAGCTTGGGAGAGCAGTGAGTAACTGGGATTTCACGGATGTTAAATACTGGACACACATGGGGTCTCTGGGACTGTCACTGTTGCTTGTTATTCACGGATCCACCAAGCACTATGCGAGCACTTGTTGTGTGCCAGGTCCTGTTCTGAAGGACGGCACTGGCCAGTCAGAGAGATAAATAAACCACAGGGGCACACACACACGGGTCTTGGCTTGATCCTGTCCTCAGCTCTCATATTCACAGACTCCCAAGCCCAAAAACCATCTGATCTGCAGACAGCAGGAAACAGCAACTTTTCGCTTTCCTCCTGTAATTTGCAATTTGCACAGAAAGATCTGTTCATTATAACCCCTTATGTGAGAAACAGCTCACACTCTTGAAATGCTGAGGATAGGTATGCACTGAGCACTTGGCATATGTCATCTGCTTTAAGCCCTTCAAATATCTTATGAGAAGGGCATTTTTGTTATTCCCTTTTCACAGAACAGGAAACTGAGGAGTTGAGAGAGAGAGGGATTTGCTTAGGATCATAGCTGGTAAGTAGCAGAGGTAGCCCAGCTCCGGCTGCCTGACTCCCAGCACCTGGCTCATAACAACCCTGCTATTTTCTGTCCCACATCTACCATCTGACCCTTTCTTTAACCTCCCTCACCCCTCTGGCATCTGGACGTTAGTAAAGTAATTATCCACCTGGAACAAATCAGACAGCCATAGCCCAGAGAGCTGAGATTAAGTAGCCAGTGGGTACAGATCAAAGAGCAAGTAAGATCTGGACCTCAACCACCCTTACTGGGCACTTTGGCCAAAGACAGCCTGGGTGGATGCCCAGTGGAAGGGGAGCCCCCACTCCCATCCCCTTCAACCTGAGTGATGAAAAGACAAAATGAGGCAGTAGATACAGGACCAGTGCCACTGCAGCACCAGCAGGCTTGTGGGATGTTTGTCAAGGAGATTAAGCCATGGCTTCATTCTCATGGTACTGCCCCAGAGTTGCCTCAGTCAGCAGGGGAAATTCAGAACAAATCTGCAGCTTAGTGGCAGGCTCCCGGGTTCCCCAGAGATGCCTGGTGGGCACCAGTTCCAGCCCTCTGCTGTGCATCCCAGCTGGGTTCACCACTCGTTACTAAGTAATAGTAACATAGAATAACCATAATAATAACCATCGCCACCACAGAGAGTGCTTACCACATGCACAGTTTACCCACAGAATGCTCACAATGCTGAGAAGTGGGTACTGATGTTGTCTCCAGGTGGCAGATGGGGAAACTAAGGCACCAAGGTACAAACACTCACCCTAGGAAACCAGCCAGGTGGTGGCTACTTAACCACGCTGCCAAACTGACTCTTGAGGATTCAATGAATATGGGTCGACTGAACGAATAAGGGCATGACAGCAATTCATACATGGGAAGGCTCTATAGGCTCTGGATATCAGTGGGAATGGGTCAATCTTGTAAGAATGCCAGAAGAAACGTTATGCCTCTGAGCTGGGCATATGAGGGTGACACACCACCCACTGGCCTTGAGGGTCCCTCTAGAAAGAAGGGATAGTTATGGCCTTCCGGGGGCTTTAGAAGGGGGTTTCAAGGGCCACTAGGGCCCCCCAAGTGTTTCAGCAGAAAGAGGA